GGAGGAGGTGAGGAGGAGGTGAAGAGGAGTGAGACGAGTCCAGGTTCTGGTACAAGGGTGACAACCCATGAAATTCTTCGACACGTTGATTATTCGTGATTACCCCCCTTTAATCATCAGAAGTGCACGTTTTACCAAACGGTGGCTGGGAGTCTTTCAAGTGTGTTCTGTTCCCTTTAGTTTTAGTAGAGGTTTTACGGCGCTCGCAACCGCCAACGGTTATATGAGCGCCAGAAGTTTAGAGGGTTTACAAGATAGTAACAAACATAAAAAAAGAAGAAGGGGGAGATAAGGACGATAGATGTTCCCTTCTTTTCCTTTTTCTAAGTACTCATAACCAAAATAATATATTCCTGTAAGTATATGGCTGTTACTGTGCTGACTAGTGAATAGAGGGTCACCAGCAGAGTCTCATTGATTAACTTTGGCAGCTCCGTTGCGTTGTTCTGATGGTGGTGGTGGTGGTGGTGATGGTGGTGATGATGGTGATGGTGGTGATGGTAATGGGTCGTTGGTGGTTGTGAAGATTGTCGTTGTGGTGGTGGTGGTCTGTGGTGGTGGTGGTCTGTGGTGATGGTGGTAATGGTGGTCTGTGGTGGTGGTGATGGTGGTGATGGTGGTCTGTGGTGATGGTGGTAATGGTGGTCTGTGGTGGTGGTGATGGTGGTGATGGTGGTCTGTGATGGTGGTGATGGTGGTAATGGTGGTGATGGTGGTAATGGTGGTGATGGTGGTGATGATTGTCTTTGTTGTGGTGGTGGTCGGTGGTGGGTCGGTGGTGGCCTGTGGCGGTTGTGATATTGGCGGTGATAGAGGAGTTTGTCATTGTGATTGTAGTGGTGAGGATCAACAGCAGTTAGTGGCGATAGTTGTAGTTGTGGTGATAGTAGTAGTGGTAGGGGTAGTGGTGGTGGTAGCAGAGGTATATCTATAGATAAATCGCGTTTATCACCTTTTCTCAAAGTCACAAAACTGTCTTGAGCTCTTTGGTTGCATAATTGACAATGTGTGGCAAAGAAAGGGTTAAAATGAAGAGACGAGGGGCTGAACATTTACCAGTTTACAACTGGCACTGACTGACCTTTTGGTAAATGAGTAAAGGTCATCATTAATAACAGGGGCGGTTTGTTAACTGGGCAAGACCGGTGGTGCCGGTCAAATTTTTGTCAGCAGGACTGTTGACAAGAGATTTATTGCTGATGATGATTTTCATTCAGTTTTAAGTAAATCCAAACAAACATGTATCAACATTCAAAAAGCACAAGCGGGATTCACTGCTGTTTTGTCGAGAAGTTTGTTTATCGCGCCGGTTCGTAACTTTAAATCTTCTCCTGTCAAGCCGTCACGTCGTGGAACTTTGTACGAGGACAAACCGAACACGGGTTCAGCGATGACGTCAGTCCGCTGGGCAAATCCATCGACTGCCCTCAGAGCGAATATAGTATCCCTTGATTGCCAAATTGGCCTCTACATTGCTTACAAAATTAAGAATGAGACTGTCTTGAGCAGCACAGTCACAAGAATTATTTTATCAGCAGTACGTGTATTTATCATTCAGCCTTTCTCTAAATATTATTAGAGCATTTATTGTCAGCATGGCACTAATCTTTTTTGTTTATTGAATTTTTAGACATCTATAGTTCCTGTTTGATATTTATTCATCGCTTTCTCCCCACTACAACTAATAACGTACCTGGCCCATATGAGTCTAGCCGGCGAATAGAGGAATTGTCTAGTGAAGATATATAAGGAAGATAATACCGGAAAAAGCAAGCCTTCCTTTACTATCAAACATCTATCGTCCTTATCTCTGACTCTTCTTTTCTTTGAAAGTTACTCTCTCGTAACACCTCTAATTTTTGGCATTTTTATTATAATCTATTTGAGCTGGATATGCCGTAAAACTCTTGCCAAAGCGAAAAATTGTAATTTTCGATCTGTGTCAGAAAAAACGATGTGTACAAGAGCTGTCAGCACAATATAATTAAACGATAAGCACCCACCGACATCACACACAACCCGCAAACTTTCAGCTCCCCCCCCATGACCCGCCCCGGCGCCCGCCCCACCTCCACCATGTCAGCCAAGACCAGCACCTCCATGGCGTCATCAGCCACCAGCACCCGGCAGTCACGTGCTTCCGGTTACACCATAATGACGGCCTACGGCAGCAGAAGGATTCGGAGACCGCAACACTCGGACGCCGGCGCCTGTAAGTTGGGGCCATAGCTTTACGTTCTTACTACCGTCTAGGGCCATAGATTTGTACACTTGTTCACCTAGATCGCACACAGACATGGCCGTTGCTCTTCGCTCTGTATAGAAACTTTGCTGCGAAGCGTGGGACCCATGGGCCTTGCCATTACGCTCAAATGAAAGACACAACAATCCCTCTAAAGCCGGGTGCACACGATCCCAACACCCCCACCCCATCCCACATACAAAAACAAACAAATCAACACACACACACACACACACAAACACACGCACACTCT